GTGACCTGGATGAAACAGAGTTGGTTTAACCTTGTGCACAGCTGAGTCAGCTTCCCACAGCCTTAAGTGCTGTGGAATAGCATCCCTGTACATGAATGTCTTTAACTCAAATGTTCCTTATAGATAAGAATTTTAGATCCCAAAACCTAAAAAAATGGGATTCAGCTTATCCACAGATGGGCTTATCTGCCAGTACATATAATCATACATTTTAAAAGTACCTGTATTTTCCATGTATGCATGTAGATAAAGCCATCCATAAATAATCTTACCTCAAATTTTCAACCAAAATAGCCACCTATCGGTGGCACATTGTCATGGTATTTTGGTTGAAAATTTGGTATGCAGGTGTGTGTGTGTGTTTGTGTGTGTGGGTGGGTGGGTGATAATCTGATGGAGGGAGTTTACAGTTCATGGAAGCATGATTTTTGTTTTAGCACCAGCTGCCATAAAGCACTTTTCTGTTAAGTTTGGAATTGTTCATTCTTGATGGTCTCAGAGCTCTTCTCCATAAGTCCCTGAACAGCATCCTACACTGTGCTGGCTGGAGATACTGGAAATAATACCATACATTGGCCCTATATTTGATACTTTTACAAATAAAAATTCCAAGAATGTAAACTAATATTTTGCAAGTAAAATTGTATTCAGTTACTTTTATCCCCCCTTCATCAAACAATAATATTCTAATTTTTTTGCATTAGCAATCTTACTGTAATCATAGACAGATTTACATGGTCCACAGACAGAGAATGAATGATGATGTTCATTAGTGTAAGTAAGTGTACTGTAAAATTACAAAACAATAATCTGGAACAAATTTGCTACCATGAATTTATTATAGAGAGCCTCATCTTTTAAGAGACAGTTTAGACTATCTGTGGACTGTCACTCTCATAACATACCTTTCCAGTCTTTAAAATATACCTGAGAGGACTTCCTGAAGGGATCTTGTTTATCAGTTATTAGGTGTGCAGGAGAGGGACTTTTCTTGTTTCATTTCCAGGCTGTGCCATATGAGGAATTGACAATTCTTGACACTTGGCTTCTAAACATGCATCTCTCAATTTCAAGCTCAAGCCCAAAGATGAGTCAGAGAGATCCAAGCAAGTCTGCACATAATGGGCAGAATACTTTGGCCACCTAATGAAAAGGAAGGACTCACTGGAGAAGAGCCTAATGCTGGGAAACATTGAGGGCAAAAGAAAAAGGGGACGACAGGGGATGAGGTGGCTGGATGGAGTCACTGAAGCAGTAGGCGAGAGCTTAAATGGACACCAAAGGATGGTAGAAAACAGGAAGGCCTGGAAGAACGTGTCCATAGGATTGCGATGGGTCGGATACGACTTCACAACTAACAACAACAACAATGGGCAGAATCTTGCCAAACTAAATCTATAATTTTCTAAACTACTAGATATATCCTCAAAGATTCTAAGGTGTAGCCATCATGATCCTCTTCTCTCTCCTCTATCCAGCTTGGGGTTGCAAAGTCTCTTGAATGGGGCCTATTATCAGGAAAGCTGAGTTGGTAAAATCCTCCCCCCTCTACTGCCACAGGTGCACATTCCATCACACTCATTAGGCTTTTAATGGTTATTATGTTTTGTGTTACTTTTAATTTGTTTTTTCTTTAAAAAGTTGCTTCTGAATTCAATTATAGTTATCCATCTAGACAATTCATTTAAGTAGTAAGGTGGAATATAGCTGGAACAAACAAACAAACAAATAAAATATTTTCAATCTAGTGATTTTATTTTTCAGAAAGCCAGTAAAGAAGGTCAGTTCAGAAGAATAATGGACAGCAAGTAAGGCAAAATAGGCTTCTACATTCGTCTGCTAGGAGTTAGTTGTGATTTAGGTTGACACTCTTTTCTTGGAATACACAAGCGAGTTCTCATCTCATTTTAAGATCCCTACAATACTAATGTTGCAACTTCTGTGGTATAGAATGTACTTATTCAAATATAACTGCTTGCCAAACACTCATTTGTCAGTTGTATTTATTGACTAATTTTGCATGTTTTACCAGAACTATTTATTATGTTGTCAGCAAGAGCTATACTTTGTGGTCTGGAACCACAATGATTGGAAAAGGATGATTTCCAGTTGCAATGCATTTAATTGTCAAACAATATACTCTTAGAGCTCTATATATTTAATGAAGAGATGTGTAGGTTAATATATTGTTTATAACACTGTGAGACTGTAATAGCAGGATGTGGCAGGATTTGTAAATATAAATATGTATAAGGAATCCCGATTTTTCATTCTTTAGGGATTATCAGCTGAAATGTACTTCAAAGCAGGGCTAAAGTGTGCTTGTTTGCATACCAGCCGCATGTAAAGGTTTTGCAAACATTAGTTAACATTTCCTAACACGCTTAAAGCATTTTGCCTTTTTTGGCTGTATAGGACTATTTTGTCTCATAAAAAAAGAATGGTTAGCAGCAAATTGTTGTTTTTTAAAACAAAGATATTAGAAAGTAATCAGGAGTGACAAGGCCTTGGTTTGCACAATCAAATACTCTTAAGTGTGCTATGGAAGGCAATAAGAGATGTTCCAGGAAAATAATATTAAGTGGGATTATATATATATTTTCCATTCAGGTTTTGCTGATTCCACACTCCACTATTTTTAGTTCCTTTCTTAGGTTGCTTCTAAATATTGCTATATTTCTGCAAACTTTGGAGTTCATGAGCACTTGGTATCTCCCTCTTGAGCCAGAGTAAGCCTGGATAGAATAAGCCTCATAAAATGACTGGAGGAAATTAAAGAAACAATGCGGGGTACAATAAAAGGCAACTTCTGCAATCACACAACCAAAAACCAATGTTAGTTGGTTGGAAGTGGCTATTTACTTAAAAGTGGACAACTGCTTCGGATAATGACATTCCAGCTCCCTGTTTTTTTCCTTTTATTTACTCTTCTCATCTGTTTGCCAAATTCCTTTGATTTGAAATGATTTATGTCTTTGCCCTTGTGATTTCATTGCCCAGAATGTCAAAACTCAGAACACTTAAATTTCTGGCCTATTTGAATACAACTAGGAAAAGAAGGAAAAACTATAACTGTTGATGGTACTCTTGATTCTGGAGTTAGGGATGGAACTGGGGCAGACGTCAGTAAAAAGAAGAGGCAAGAGCACCATCTACTGAAATGAAAGTGACCAGCAGAAAGGTAACAGATTATGCTCTTCTCATTTCAATACAGATATGAAGTAAAACTAGGATGCATTTTTTCCTCCCATGTGTTAGAAATCAACCAGAAATTATATGCAGACATATCTCAGCATCTCCTTTCCATGGATCAGCTGATATTTGATGAATACCAGAAGAATGGGCCATTTTAAAAACATCTTGGAAGATACAAGGATGATTTTGTATTTTTGTCAATCCAAAGGAAATTTGCATTAGAACTGGTCATGCATGTAGCAATGAAGGAATATGGCGTATTTTCCTACTTTTAATATCTCAGCTTCCTAACATTTTTCACTGCAGAAACTCACTAGGAAATTTGGAACTAGCTGGTCTCTTTCAACCAAACCTCACAGAATTGTTTGTTGGGGACAAAATAAGAGGAGGGAGTTTAATGTGTGCCATCTTGAGCTCCAAAATTGAAGGTAGGATGTAAATCAAATAAGCAAAATAATGGGCAGCGTTTGTTTTCAAAGAGACTACTACCATTGCTTCTATGAATCCTGGAGTAATCTTCGGGATAGAAAAGGAAGGAATGGAGATTTTACAGCATCCTTCCCCTGCCATGCCCACCAAGCCACACACCCACAGAACCAGTAGTAAAAAAATTTGAATCCCACCACTGAGTGAGGCCCATAGCTATAACTAAACTTGCCTTTAGTAATCCTCCTTCATCCCCTGTCCAAACTGGGGGGAAAAACCCTCTCAACTATGTTCTCAATTGAGGCTATTCCATGTAAAACAGGGATTTTTCAGCTGGCACTTTGGGTTCCCAAACTAGTAGTTAAAAATGCTTTAGAATGTCGGCACGTCCTACGCATGCATGGAGGTGGCATGCGCAAGTGAAGCGAGTGCACATGCTCTCACATTACTACCAAACCTGTAGCAGAGGTAGCAGAGGTGAGTAGATTTCACTTTTTGAAGGGCAAAAAAGTGAAGGCTGCTTCAAATTCAACCAATCACCTTCTTTACCACTAGAGCTTCATCTCTTGATCAGAGGTTCCAATTTTTTAACAAGTTTCCTTTAAAAAAAAAAGTTTGAAAAGTCCTCTTGCAGAACTCTTATTAAGAATTAAGCCAGTCACTTACATCAGTCTAAGTGTAAATAGTGCATTTATTTTTTGTTTCTTAAAGACTAAGGAGATGGAGGCAAGCTGTAAGAAGGAACAGCTAATTCTGTCTCACTATCAATAACTTCAGTTACTTTTTCCAATGCAGTCTTTAAACACTGCTTAAGCAGTTAAGGGAAAGGGTGTGCTTCAGTCACTGTTTCTCAATTTTGGCAACTTTACAATGCATGGACTTCAACTTCAGAATTCTTCTAGCTAGCTAGATGTGGGAGTTGATGTAAGGGAGTCCTTACATCTGGACTATGACTGCCCAGTGGATTGATTATCAGAAGAAGCTGAAGCAGCATGTTTTTATGATGTACGAACAAGAAAAGGGGGCTAGAGGCAAAACAATTGTTTCATATCACAAAAACTAGAACTACTGTGTTAATACAGAACAGCTGGAAGGAACCTTGGAGTTTTTCTAGTTCAACCCTCTGTTCAAGCAGGAAACCCTATATACCATTTCAGACAAATAGTTGTCGAATCTTTTCTGAGAAACCTCTGGGGTTGGAGCATTCACAACTTCTGGAGGCAAGTCATTCCACTGATTAATTGTTGTAACTGTCAGGAAATGTCTCCTTAATTCAGGTTGCTTCTCTTTTTGACTAGTTTCCATGCATTGCTTCTTCTCCTGCCTTCAGGTGCCTTGGTGAATCACTTGACTCCCTCTTCTTTTTTGGCCCCTTAGATATTGGAACACTGCTATCATGTCACTGTATCCAGATCTGGGCTGTAAAAATAATGAATAACCCAACTCCATGATACGGATTCTCTAGATTTTTGCAGACTGCATCTAGTAGCCTAGATGCATGCCAATGGTGGGTTGTAGGCAGTACGCCCCAGTACGGGTGTACCAGTGCCTGCCGGGAGCACAAGGTACCGTTCCGGTAGGGTGCTCCGGAGGGCCCGCCCACCCACCCACCTGCCCATCCTCCTTACCTGTATTTGAGCTCTTTGGTGCTTTCATGCACACGCATGGTATGTATGGCGCCTGCGCAATGCTCTGCCGAGCAGCTGGAGCATCACGGATGCATTTCAAGAGATAAGGACCCATGGGCGCGCTGCGCGTGTGCATGTGGGAGACACCGGGCTCTATTGCACCGTACTGGTTGAAACAGGATCCGGAACCCAGCACTGATAAAGGCGACTTTCAATCTATGACTGGCATTGATTTTATACATATGAGGCCATTTTAATGGCTTTATTAATTCTTCGTTTTCATCTGGAACAAGTAAGGGGAAGAAGAGACAGCAATCAACCTTAGCAAAACATATACAGATACATGCAAAGGGGAAAAATAATTCTAATTCCCCTTTGAATATTTACTTATGAGAAAATGACACTAAAAAGCTTTTTGATGGTCATGCTTTCCTGCAACTTTGGGCTTCCCAAGTGTCTGCCTTTCTGGGTATCTGATAAGCTAAAAGCTAAGTGGCAGTTTTGTCAGCAGTTCAAGGACAGCATGTGTCTCTGGGTGACAGATGACCTATGAAAATATTCAGTCACATGCTTCAAAACAAACTAGCAGCATCTGTTCATTAAATTCTTCAATTAAAATCAGAATATCATTTTCAAAGGCCTGTTCTGAGCCTGGTAGAACAAGAGATGTAAGCATACAGCTAAAAATGAAAAATGACTAGACTTTCCAGACCAAAGGGCTAAGACAAGTTAAAATTATAACAGAGACAAAAATGAAAAGAAAAACAAGAATTTCACAGAAAGGAAGTCATTCTTGTTCGCTGATCCATCCGAAAATATACTTTAAGGAAGGATTGCTTTCCAAACTGGTATGTGGCTGGTGATAGGCTGAAAGGGTTTGGCTTAACTAAAGAATTTGTTTTGGTTAAAAACATTTCTCCTTTCTTTGTTTGGCTTTGTTTTTGCTAAAAGACGTTGCTCAAAGGAATAGGGATGGAGCACATTAAGTTCTTGCAAGTCAATTTTATTATTCTTTAATAAAACTAAAGAATTGTTTATTTCCATCAGTTAATTTCTGAGCCTGAAATAACATGGGGAGTTTAGAGACACACTTCCTGCTTCCGTGCTTCTTGGATTTACTTATTCACCAGAACTGATGAATTTATCCAGAGATAGCAGCTTTTCCCATGAGTTGATTGTCACAATGTTAAACTGAAAGATGAAAAGATGGAGAAGGGAAAAAAAAAACAAAGTAAAGCGATACCAGGGCATGAATATATGTGCATGTTCAACAGTCATTTTTCATGCAGGAGCAATCTTCTAAGTAACTTGGAACCATTAGGGATCGTGATTGGTGTCACTGATTCTTTTTTTTTTCCCAATTAAATTTTAATTTGTTTATAATCTTTATGAAAATCAGTGCATGAATGGTGTGGTAATTGGGTAACATACATTTCAGTACACATAACTATAGTCTTATTATTCCTAAATATTACATTTCATTTCCATTATTTCATATTATTTATACATGCCTTTTATTATTACTTTTCACTTCTAAATGATCTTTCCGTCTTTTTGTATAACTGATT